CGCTGAGCGGGGCGGTCTCTCCCCGGCGGCGGCGAGGGCGGCGGCGTGGGCTCGGGGTTTTGGAGAAAGCGGCCCTGGGCAGCGCTAGGTTTGTACGAGGCCCCCATGTGGCCAGGCGAAAGTGAGCCCTGGCTCGGCCACGCTAGCGGCCGCTGGGCTCCCTCGCGGTGACTTTATCGTCACAATTCGAAACGTCTTATTTAAAAATGTGAATAGCTTAAAAAATGTTTGCTCCTGTGCTTGGATGCAGGTACCTGTTCGTCGCAGGCGCTGACAGCCACCAGAAGGTGGCTCCAGATTAAACTTCTGTGCAGGTACTGGCATGCGTTTGGTTTTTTTTTAATCTGTTAACCTTTGTGATGCATATAAGCCTAATCCCTGAAAAAGTTGTGATTGTTTAGTATCAGCTCTTACGAAAGGCTATTTTTTGTCCCTGCTCTTTCTCTGAACTGTTTTTTTCTACTCTTTTCTAGTTCTTTATGTGCTGGTTAGTTACATAATGTAAGTAAAATGTTGAGCCACGCAGCGTGACTTGAGTGACCCTGTAAAAGTGTACTGTGGAAAAGCTGATCATTTCAGTAACCACACAAATATTTTAGAATCAGAAAGAACTGGGGACTGGTGGGAAAAAACCCAACAAATTGCATATGTTTTCTTTGCAGGAACTTGCTATATACAAATTACCTCAGCTTTTTGATGAGCAGACATGGTGAGATCAGTATCACTTTTTATATTCTTTCTGATTTTCTTAAATCGTGATACTTTGAAAAGTGCATAGCTGCTCTGCGTGCCAAGTGATTATGCGTTTTACTTTGACGTTGTGAAGAATTTGTGATGAAAAGCTCTGCTTTCCATTTCAGACTTTACACAAAATACTGTGAAAAGGAGAATATGTCAGTGTTATTGTTCCGTCAATCTAAATATACAATTAGACTTCTAAGACATTACGATTTAATCCTAATTTGACTAATATTTGGTCATCTAGTTTGATTTCTTCTACTACAGAAGCACTGTTCAAGTTGCAAGCACAAAGCTCTGCTTGAATATACGTAAGCTTCTACAATTGTAGGCTTTTGAAAATGTATCTGTCGAGAAATAAAGATAAGACTATATCTTAAACTGGTTGTACAACTTTTATAGTATCTTCATGGACATTGCAAGCAACTATCTTTTCTTCTTTACTTGTATACCAAGTTTTTAAATGTATTTGCATTATCTGTGTTATATATTACTTGCTATGCATATGATATGTGATATTATTTAACATATGTAATATAAAAACACCCACACGTGTGTGTGTGTGTATGTGTGTGTGTATATATATATATATATGTATGTATGTATGTAACAGTATGCCGGCATCAACACGATGCTGATTCTTATTAGTCTTTTTGTGCATATATCCCCAGTATATCCCCACAGTAAATCATCTTTGCATAGTTTAGCACTTTCTTTGGGAGTACTGTGAGGTTTTGGGGCCCATAGAAAGACATCTGCATTGATGGCTGGGTCACTGGCCTCTTAAAATTTAATAAGGCTATTTATAAACTCTGAAGAGAAGTGCATAATTTTGCGGACATACTCGTTTGTGAGGGCAGATTATTTACGGTGCCATTCAGAACTATCCTGATATCACTGAAAAGGCTGCAGTCTAGTGATGCACAGCACTTGTTCCTCTGGCTGTAAACCAGTGAGGTACGTGCAGCACGCTTTCATCTCACGAAACAGAAATAAACTCAGTTCTTCAACTTGTGCAAACGTGTGACTGAGTAGGTTCAGTTTACCTGTGACTTTATGCAGATAAATAACATATCTTTGGAGAGTAGCAGCATGCATCTGAGCTCCATTACCGTGGAGAACGTGATTTGTCCTGAAACTACTGAATCCAGTGCTCTCTGATGGTTTCACTGGAAACGTAGATGGTCTGTGACGGTAGCCTTGCTTAGGACCAGGTATTGAAACAATGATTATATGCAGTGGGAAGTTGCTTGCACTCTTGGTAGGACCGGGAAATAAAAGAGAGTGTACAGCTGTTTGTATTTCATTGGTGGTTTAATTATTATTTTCTGCCTCTTGTTCAGGCTGTCACGCTGCACACTGACGTAGGAGATATTAAAATAGAATTATTCTGTGAGCGAACACCGAAAACTTGCGAAGTAAGTCACGTAACAGGAGCGGGATTGTGTAGTATTGAAAGAAAGCAGTAGAAGTAGTGAAGATCATAGAGAAGGTGAAATGAGTGTTCCAATTCATTGTTTTATATAATGGAATATTGACATTCTAAGCTGGTGCAGTGCCTGGTTCAGCTTGTGGAACTTGTTGTGTACTGTGTTGTACTGTCTAGAGCTTTGCTGTCTGTTTCTTTCCAGCTGAGGTTTAGCTAAGGGCCACTTCTCTCCGAGTTATAGCATCTCCCAAAGTGTCCTTTGCCCTTAAGGGGAAACGTGGGACTTTGCCTGGGATTCCCAAACTTCCCTGGGTTTGCCCATACTCATATAAAACTTTACTTTTTAAAAAGAAGTGAGAAGCGCTCACAGTTTGTCAGAGACCCCAGTTTTCCTTTGTGCAATAAACTTAAGCTTAAATTGAAAGTAATTTTTAACTAACTGTGCTCAGGCTTGGCTATGGATTGCAAAGTTACGGTACAGTTTAAAAAAAAAATAAAAATATTGAATGCAAGGGATGCCTCTGAGCATGTCTCAAGAATCCCTGTGTTTGTTCCTTAACTCAGAGGACCTTGTGCTGTAAGCTTTGTTTAAAATCCTTTGCATCTGTGACTGTGTCAAAGGAACTGTGTCTTAACCATGATTTGAGAATGACTATCGTGTGCGAAGAGAGGATTCTCAGAGTACTGATTCTTTAACCTGTCCTTAGCCAGGACAGTAGGAAACTTGAGTCTGTGGGAAACCAAGAAAACAGGAGCTCTAAACACAAACTGCGATGTCTTGAAACTGCATATTGTAAAAGACTTTTCTCATGGTGTTATTTACAGCCATGTCTGTTTTGGTTGTAAATGCCACACATGATGTTTTAATGGTAGTTTTAAGGGTTATGACCTCAAAGTAGCTTTTAAATGAACTTTTTGCTTTATTTTGTAATTCTGTAGTTTTAATGTTTGCTTAAGCCAGGAATAAGTACTGTTCTAGTTGAAAATTTTTAAATTTTAAAATCTTAGGATCTTCCTGGTTTCAGCTGCAACACTTTCATCTTACGTTCTGGGCAGCCCACATTTACATTTCAGTGAAATAGTGTATCTTGAAGGACTTTTTCCTTGCGAAACGGTGAACAATTCTTGTCCGTATGCAAATAGTGGTTCCTCAGCTATCTGAGGTATGAGGTCCTTTAAAAAAGATACATGTTCCTGCACTGAGCTGAAGGAGAATATTTATGAAGCCCCCATCAGATGCATTTTCTCTGTGATGCTCTACGTAGGCAGCATCTGTGTTGCTTTGTTGATTTTAATGTAACGTATAGACCATACTTACTGGATTCGGTACTGTTTTGTAACTGTGGCAAGCCCTGAAAAGGGAAGGGAAAGACCTGAGGGTTATTTGTATCTTTTAATAGCCACCAATAGTCTGTGGCAGTTGACTAATGCCGTGACATGCTCACAGTGCAAAGCAGAGTCAGAAGAGCTAGTCTTGTCGGTGCTGTGGTTTTGGCTACAGAGGATATTATTTCTGACTTGTTTGCTAACGTGCTGTGTTTCATTTCCTTAGAATTTCCTGGCGCTTTGTGCTAGTAACTACTACAATGGCTGCGTATTTCACCGGAATATAAAGGGCTTCATGGTTCAGACAGGGGATCCATTAGGTAAATCCTTCTGTCAGAGATGGGATGCAACATAAGAATTACTGTATTGTTGATAGAAGGTTTAATGATGTAGCTAGTTTTCTTTGCTGAGTTTACAGAAGAGCAGCCATTGCCCTACCTCTAGACAATCAAGCAGTGGTAAAGCGTTGTACAGACTTTAATTTTTCCAGCCGTCTTCACTGAATAGGATGGTTCTGCTGACTCACCAGCGCTTGCACAGGCAGTAGTTGTTATTCTGGTTTCTGCCTAAAAGGCTACGCTGCCTCTAAAAATTCTCTCTAGCGTTTTGGGAAATGGAATAGACAGTGTCAACTATTTAGGAGAAAGTCAGATTCGCCTGTGTGTCTATTTGCACTCGTATTGAATTGAATTTGAGGATATCTGTTTTTTGTTCTGCTACTTAATAGTCATTGTTTATATTATTGAGTTGGTGCTCTGCTCAGTATCGAGACATGAGAACCTGAGCCCTGCCTCAAGCAGTTTATAGTGTTTCTAGTGTGTTTGTTGTAATGTGTTCGAATGATGCATCATTTCTGAATTTTTTCAGTCTGAGAATCCAATAATCTATTGTAGTACTTCTTTATCAGGCACTGGGAAAGGAGGTAACAGCATCTGGGGCAGGAAGTTTGAAGATGAATTCAGTGAATATCTGAAGGTATTTCTGTGCTGTCAATATGCAGCTATGTTTTCACATACATTTTCGTTACAGGCTGGAGAATGATCAATGTTGTGTTGCGCTAGATTAAATACCCGTTTTGTAATTGTGAAATAAAGCGTAAGCGCACAGCGAAGCGATGTTATTAAGTCTTGTTACTGAAATAGGAACACTCATTTCTGTACTTCACAAGTTAGATTTGAGGTTCTCGTCACTGAGAACAGAAGTAGGAAGAATTTGTAACACGGTATTTCTCATTCACTGAGGGCAAAGAAGTCATCTTGCGTTGTAAGAGCAGATTTGAGGAGCTGATTATGGGTGGTGATGGACTGTATTAGCAACCAACGTTTGTTTTCACTAATGATATTGAGGTGGAGAACTAAGTCGTTAAGCGTTTTGTACAGTTGAAATCCTGCTTTCACAGGTTCACGCTGAGGTTTTTTCCCCTTCTTTCAGCACAGTGTCCGTGGAGTTGTTTCAATGGCCAACAATGGTCCGAATACCAATGGATCGCAGTTCTTCATCACTTATGCCAAGCAACCGCACCTGGATATGAAGTATACTGTCTTTGGGAAGTGAGTGATCCAACCATATGCCTCCTTGTCAGTGTGTGAAGGATCTGAATATTTCAGGGCACGTGCAACGCAATTTGAGAACTTACGTGGCAGAAGCCTTTACAATCTTGGCTGTGTCTATATAAATGTATGATCTTGCACTGTCACCAGAATTGCTTGGCCCAAAATACTGCCCCGTTTTTTCTTAGTAGTAGGAAATTCAGTGGAAATAGGCATATCAAAAATAATATCAAGAATGGAGCTAGGGTTTTTTGTACTAGCCGTTCCAACTTGCACCCATTTGGGCACGGGTGAGAAGGCAAGTCGGAACGGCTAAGTACAAAAACACCCAACTCCATTCTTGATATTATTTCTCTGTCTCAAACTCATGGTAATGGCTTTTCTTTTGCTTGTTGCTGAAAGGCCTCTTGTGTACAAGTGAATCTGTTGAGCAAAAATTGCTTTCATCAAATAGAGTTAAAGAGTCGAAGTAAGCTAGTGAAATTTGAAAACTGCATTTTTACCATTTGTACTGTTTATAGGCATGTAAGCATAAGGGTTCTTTCATCTCTTGAGTTTGTTTAGATGTGGGATTGAAAGTCGTTTTTTGGATGTCTCTTTCTCAGAAAAGAATAGAGGCTCTGATAGATGAACTTGGCCAGATTTGCAGCGACAGTTGAAGATAACTGTTGCCGCAGTTGCAGAATCAGCTAAGCAGAATACACGTCCATGCTCGAGCCACAGTCCGGCATCCTAGATTTAAAGAATTGATGAATGTGGCAGTGAATTGAGTGGTGAATGGCATGTCATGTGTTCTGCCAACCCCGTTCCTGGGCTAATAAACTGTCAAGATTTAGCAGAGCTAATTATTTAAACTGAAAAGGTAAGGGGTTTATTAGAACAATTCAGCTTGCCACTTCTTCGGCCTGAACAGGAATCCAAAAGCCTAAATGCATCTGTGCCATTAGATTTACACAGTTATAAGTGGTCAGTCCAATGCTGCCTTGGAGCCGTAAGGTTAGAAATTATAATCTCACATTTGGAATCTGATTTTTCCAGCCGTGGGATTTCAGTAGTTCACAGTCAAGTCTGGTATGACCAGTATCTTCCTACTAGTCAAACCTATACTATGATCAGTCAGTCCTGCCTGCCAGGAAGTGGAGCCAGGGTCTTTTTAGCTACAGTTGGTATAAAATAGGATACGGTCAGGTCAGTGGGAATTACTTGTATCTTTTATCAGAATCTCTCCTGGATGCTTAAAATTCTCTTTCAGTATAGCTCAGAATAGTATGCTTAAGGTGTTGGCTGCCTTATTTGCATCATTTGCTTGCCAAGCCCTTGCTCTGTGGTACCTTGACTCACTGTAAAGTGCTTTGAGATACCTCAAGTATAAAAGTTCAGTTATTCATTAGAAGGAGCTTCCTAGCAGTCCTGCTTTTCTTTCAGAGTTATTGATGGCTTGGAGACCCTGGATGAGCTGGAGAAGCTGCCTGTGAACGAAAAAACCTACCGACCTCTTAATGATGTTCGCATTAAAGACATCACAATTCATGCCAACCCTTTTGCTCTGTAGCCACAAAGTGCCACGACACATTCTTTAGAGACTGGTCAGAATGACTGCTGGATTATGGTGTTTAAAATGTCATTACAAAGAGTTACTCAAAGTGGATCATCATACCTTTGCTCCTTGAATGCAGGACTTTGAGGAGTTGTGACATTGTCTGGGAGTTGTCACAGGGGAGTCTTATGCTTCAGAAGCCATTTTTTCCAGAATATCTTCCAGGATTTTGACTCTAACGCTTTGCTTTTTGTACGTGTAAAATAAGGAAAGACTTTTAAATATATGTATATTTTTTGCAAATATTTGATTTCTGCCTCGTCTTTCTAAGTGATATGCTGAAACAGGTCTTTGGCTAGAATTTCATTCTAGCAGTTTTCTGAAACTTTCCTGGGTAAACTCCAACATTCCTCACTCTACTATTTTTTTTGAAAACTGAGTAAAACATGTACTTTTTTCCTCTAGGTGAGAGCGATGTCATAGATAGAGGAATCCTTTCTCTGCTAGTGGATTGAAAGACCATGTTTAGATGAGTGCTTGCTCCTGTACTACTGTGTTGGAGTGGTTACCTCTTCAGCCTCCCCAAAAGGTAGATCAGAAACAGTTGCCTCTGCCTCAGGCACAGAGTTTTTAGGATGAAACTGTAAGTGTTTGCGTCTTTGCATAGATGTTGTTCGAAACGAGGTAACCATGGATTTACTGTAACTCGTTTTTCATCCCTTTATTGCACAAACAATAGGGGGTAAACACAACAAAGAGTAGTGACAAAGACCGCGATCAGACTTCTCACTGAGAATATCCTGATACCCTCAAAATAATAAAACATATTGTGGCCGAGATGTTGTTGAAGGCTGTCGTACGTGTTAGCGGTGAGATTGTCAGAACCCCTCCTAGTACTAAATGACAGAAGAGGACAGAGGGTCTGTGAGAAGTGGTGGTTTGCACAGCAAAGTACTAGTTGAAATAGTAAAAATAGTTGGTGACCACGCTGGCCTCAAATAAGAATGTCTGCAAAAAGGTATAGAGATATCTGGATATTGATGGGAGGGGGTGCAAGAATATATATTATGTGTGTGTGTGTGTGTACATATAGATGTGTGTGTATATATATGTATAGGGATGCATAAATACGTCTGTGTTGCTGATCCTAAGCTCAAGTCCCTTTGATGAGGAATCCCAAAAGGAAAGGCAATTAATTTGACATTCATCAGGCTCTATTCCTTTGGGATCCAGCCCTGAACCAGGAAGGGGTGAAATGTCCTGTAAAAGATATTTTAGTATTAAGCATAAACTAAACTGACTTGAGCTGGCAGAAGAGAGCAATCTGTGCACGTCGTAAAAGCAGTTCTCTGCCTTGGGCGTATTGGGGAAAACAGAACATTCTTCTGTTTCTTGAAAACCCCTTAGCTGCGGATTAAAAAAATGCATTTCAGCATGTTCGTTGTTACAAAGCAGGAAAAAGCAGCTCGTTTCCACTGAGGTCCGTTTTCTGACTCGACAATATGTAGAAGTCACGAGGATGTATTTCCAGTTCCCACTGTGCATGGGAGCACTGGGTAGGATAGAACATTCATGGTTCCCGCATCCGGCTCCTGCCCTCCTGGGCTTCTCCCCTCCCTCACTCCCCCCCAGTCCCCTTTGGACTCATTCAGCATCGCTTAGCAAGCCCCATCCTCATATACGTGCCTTGTAATCCTTGCGAGGTTCAGCTACCGCCTTGTAGGCTCAGTGCCCACCAGAGTTGATCTGGACCCTCTCTCTAGAACAAAGTCCCTATGTGGATGAACGAGGACCATGTCGATTTTGTCTCTTCTTTCGGTATTGTTCTGGAATTCAGGTGTGTGTTTTAAAAAAAAAAAAAAGGTGGAGGGGGGCATTGGAAAGAGCCAAAGTTTTGAGTGCCTGCCTTAAGAGCTGAGATTATGTTGTTTCTATTTTGTATATGGTGTTGCTAAAAACGCCTAGTCCTTGCTGTAGACTTAAAAGATAGGGTTTTTTTTCCCCTGCTGCTCCAGTCAGGTAAAGGACTTGATTATTGTAGCTCTGTGCTCTTTCCATCTTTCTTCCCCGTAACCAATGGTAACGGAGAGTAGACAAAAGCAGGCAACTGTACGCTTCACTGCCACCCCGACACTGCTGCTATGCAGAAGGAAACGCGTATTGATAGTTTTCCTACACTGCAAAGGAACCAATAATTTGAAATTTAGCACTGACCTCAAAACAATAGCAGGTCTGGTTTTCTACCCCACAAAAAGAAGATTGTTATATAGAATGTGTGAAATACAGGTACTGCAAGAGCTTTGCTCTTTGCGCAATGCATTAAATTTACTTTTTTTTCCCCTCTAAATCAAAGCTATGTCCCATGAGATCCCTCCACTTTCAATACAGAGTTATATCCTAGCCATTATGAATCATATCATGTCTATGTCTTCCTGTTCATGGCTCTGAACTTCTCCCAGGTGAACCTGGAATACAATGGAAAAAATAACGGTGGGGTTGCTCCCATTCACTTGTTAGAGAGAGACAGAGAATATAAGCACCCCCACTGTGGAAGTGTGCAATTATGTGGGCAGCTGCTGTGCAGAGTGTACCTGCCATGCAGTTCTTGCATGCAGTCAGCTGTTGTGTCAGCAGCTGTTTGGAGTTCTGTAATGTATACAAGCCCTTCAGTAGCAAAAATGCTAGACAGTACTGTTCTCATTTTTATTGGTTTGCGCTTTAGGAAGTGCTATGTTTAATTCCATCAGTCCAGCCCTATATGACAAACACTACAACCACACGATCAGTTCTGTCAAAATAAATCTACTCGTGCAAAGGAAAATATGCTGGCGTACATTAACACTATGCTCTTGCATTATGAGGGTGATGGAGGGTCTCATCATGTATATTCTGGATAATCTCTGACTTTTTAGGCATTAGAAAAATAATAGGAAAAGTCAGTATTAGAAATATTTGTCATGTTGGGAACTTAGACTGTGCTGGACAGCAGTGGACAAAAAGAAATCGGTCTGTTATTTGTGGGCAGTGACACTCCCGTGTGCAACGCACCTACTGCGTGTTGATCACAGGGTCGGTCAATTGGTGAAATAAAAAGAATATAAAGAGTTTAAAAGGGTCATGTATCAAGGATGGAAGGGTTTCAGAAGTTTAGTCCTTTCCAAGTTAAGAGAATGGTTGTTTTTAAAGAAAAGTTGATGTGTGCACACTTGGGGTGTTTCAGGACTGTTTGACCTTTGTATGCTTTTTTCCAGCTAAATTAGATTCTAGTGAGATGGCCGACTGCTCATTATTAGCATTGCTTTTGGAGACCAGATTTCGGGCATGATGCTTGGTTAGCTTTGCTGAAGGGGTAAGTGATATAAAGATGATTGGCTCAAGAGCTTGTTCTGAGAGAAAATTTTTTTTTAAATCTTACAAAAATAGTCATCTTCTGGCGGTCATCACTGAACGAGGGTTAGGAGGGTGTGTTTTGGGTGGGCTGGTTTGTTTTTTTCCCGATTCCTCCGCGTCGGTTGTCTCGTCTTCCCGAGTACTTAGCCGGCAGGTTACTGGAGATTTTGCACGGCCACAGTACTTCCAAGTGGGCTACCTGGAAGAAAGGCAGACGGGGCCGCCGTACACCGCGCGAGCAGGGCCG